TATGATATGTCAAGAGCTTTGTAATGTTGTGAACAACCAATAAAAAAAAAAATTCCTCTTCTCCCAAAACACCCAGTTTTATTTCCTAGAGGTCACTTAAGAATTGTATGCATCTTTCCAGCAAATAGGTATATCCTGTAACAAAACATGCACAAATGTGGTCACACTAGATATACTGTTAGGTATCTTTTCTTCATTATCTGCCTTGCAGATAATCCACCTCTTTTCAGTGGCTGCAGAGTATTATTTGTTAATCATCATACAGAGTATTTAAGATTCGTTTTCCCTAAAGGTGCTACAATGATCCAGCAGCCCTTCTTATACCTGTATGGTAACATATTGTATGGGTTATCTATAAATTCCAAGTCGTGAATTGCTGGTCAAAAGATAAATGCTTTTTGAATCTATAGATTTTGGTAGCTACAAACAGCCCCTGACTTGCAATTGTTGGATTGTTAATTCTTTCAACTTTATGATGGTGCAAAATTGATATGTATTCAGTAGAACTTGTAATTCAAATTTTGAATTTTGATCTGATACTCTTTCTTACTAGTGATATGTGGCATAATACTCTGTTAATGCTCTTAGTGACAGCCAGCCACAGCTCCCAGTTAGCTGAACAGTCACAAGGGGAAACAAGTGATACTTTACCGTGTGTGTGTGTGTGTGTGTGTGTGTGTGTGTGTGTGTTGTTAAGCAATGGTTTTTTGGGTTTTGTTTTGGTATTGGTACCAGGGATTGAACCCAGGGACACTTAACCACTGAGCCACATCCCCAGCCCTTTTTTATATTTTATTAGAGACAGGATCCACTGAGTTGCTTAGGGCCTCACTAAGTTGCTGAGGCTGGGTTTGAACTTGCAATTCTCCTGCCTCGGCTGCCCAAGTCACTGGGATTACAGGTGTGAACCACCACGCCTGGCTAGCAATGTTTGGTAGATCAGGTGTTTCACATGCATTTTTTAAAAATATTTTTAGCTGTAGATGGACACAATATTTATTTTTTATTGTGGTGCCGAGATTCAAACCCAGCACCTCACACATGCTAGACAAGTGTTCTACCGCTGAGCTACAACCCCAGTCCCTCACATGCATTTTTTACTTGGTATTTTCAGTTTACTATAGGTTTATCAGGATGTAAAATTTCCTTCATAATGGAGGATCATCTGTTTTAACAAACTGCTTTCCAAAAAAGCTTCACCAACTTATAATTCCATCAACGTTGTATGAGAACACCCATTTGTTTCCATCTTCACTGACAAAGTTTTTTCAAACTTTAATTTCTTCCATACTATTAATAGGTGAAAGTAGATTTTATTTCATTTTGTTTTCTTTATTATGAATTAGGAAGGACATAGATTTATTTAATATAAATATTTGTTGGTTGCTTTTGATTTTTTAAGAATCAGAGGGTTTTGTTTTGTTTTGTTTTGTTTTCATTTAAACACTTTGTTGACCACTTCTTATGGTTTTGGTGCTTTCTGTAGAAAATAATCTTTCTCAATTGTGTAATAAGTGAAATACTTTGGGGGCCAGATCAAGTTTTCTTTATCTTTTTAACCCTTGGTTACTTTGTGTTGAACTAGTAGTATTTCAGTTGATTCCTCCATCTCTCTGCTTTGGCAAGATCTTCTGCAATACCTTTAATCATTTGATCAGTAGTTTTTTTCAAAATGGTTGCTGTCTTTAGGGCATGATCCAAAGCCGAGTTTAAAATCTACAGAGGAAAAGTCCACATGTTTTAGTTACATAAGCTTACTAATGTTTCTGGTAATTGGCTTCTTTCATTATTAAACATGGCAAGATGGAATTTTTGGAGCATTCTGTTTTCCACACAGTTTATTTCTGTTTTTGAGGGTTGGTTTCCTAGGAAACCAGTCAGATGGAATATATTTGTTAGGGAAAGGGAGAGAGAAAAGATCAACGTGTGACTGATGAGCATGAATCAGAGGGTGAGGTCAGCAACCTGCTGGTCTGTTTCCCTGCTGCAGAGAAAGAAAAAAAAGAAAAGTTCTTAGGGGGCATTGAAGGGGTCCCAATTAGGGGCCATACCACTGAGAGACCACCCAGGGAGACAGTGCACAAATGTGGAACATCTGAAAGTGGCCTGAGGATAAGTGTTACTGGCTTGAAAATAGGAAACTGCTGGCAACCCTCACCACAGTGTCCCTGGAACACACTCCAGACCTTCAAGCCTGGGCCAGGGGAATCCTGCAGCAGAGGCACCACCCACAAAACACTTTCTCCAGGAAATGTCCTTTGGAACCAATTTAGGAATGATACAAACCACATGGCAGGTCTCTAGGTTAGTACTGAGCACAAAATGCTTTTAACAGAGCATTTTCTGAAAACCTATACTGTAATGACTTAAAAGCTAGTAGTTCTGTAGTTTTAAGATTAAACTTATGAGCTGCAAGATTCTAGAACCTTTTTTTTGTAAGTCCTCACCTTAGATTCTGTTTCTTCAGAGCCACTAAAGCCACATAAGGATTTGCTTCCAGGAATCCTGAAGGAGTGAAAAAGGAGTAAAGGTATTGCAAGTCTGAGCTGTAGGTCATGAAAGTCTTAAGATTTTAGATTTTTTTCTGGAAGGCAAAAACACATTCATTGGTACTTGTGTAAAGTGCCACCCTCACATAACCCTCCTGTTGCAGTCAGCACTGGTTTAGTAAAAGGCTCTTTGGGAGCTGGGGTTGTGGCTCAGTGGTAGAGCGCTGGCCTAGCACATATGAGGCCCTGGGTTCGATCCTCAGCACCTTATAAAAATAAATAAATAAAATAAAATAAAGATATTGTGCACAACTATTACTAAAAAGGCTCTTTGGGGGCAAGAGGTTGGGACGATTCATACATGTGTGTACACACCCACAGCCTTTCATAGCTCTTGTTTGTCCTGTGGACTTACCACCAACCACAGCTGACTTTGGAACAAGGTTGTTGCCATGATCAGGAGGACACAATTCTTCTAGAATTGGCCTCCTTTTTCTTTGAAACAGACAGGCAAGACTCCAAAGGGATTTTTACCTCATTTTCATTCTTGGGGGGACCAGTCTTATACCCTGAATATTTATAAAACAAATACACATATAACATTGCCAACCATAGGCACCTTGGATAGAGTTTATTCTAGCACCAATGAGCTTACACAGTAAGGAAGCTGAGGTGGTAGAAAAATAAAAGAAGCATCTCTTTAAGTCAATAGGCCCCCCTAGACTACTACACTATAATTATGGTTCTGTTGCTGAGGGATGGCCCGAAGTCTGCACTGGGTGACTGGAATGCCAGGGCCATTGTATTGTTCATTGTATTGTTCATAACTAGGGGGTTTATTCACACAGCATGTATGATGGGCAATGCAAGTAGTGATGCTTTTCTCAACCATGAGAAAGTAGCCCTGAGAGCTGCCATATAAACTTGCCTGTCCATCCTTGCTTCATCCCTCTACTAAGCCTTACTTTGGTACTTGCATTTATGAGCAATATCATCTCCAATAAGACTTACTTCAGATACTTGTGACCTCAGAACCTCCCTTCATCCCTCTTTCCTTACCACATTAACATTAGTTGGTTCTGCTGTTTAGCACATTGGATCTGACCTCCACATAAGTGTTGTCCATTCTGCATCAGGGTCCCCTAGCTGATGAAAAATGGCTGGGGGTGGCAGTGGGCGGTGGTGCAGTGGGAAGAGCATGGGCTTTACCCTGTGTCCAGTTATCATTTTCAATAATATTAATAACAGCTGTCATTTGCTTAGTAATTTTTATGAACTGGGTACCATTCTCAATATTTAATGTATTGACTCAGTCCTCAATGAATTTGCACTATTATTGATTTCCCTGTTTTACTTATGGGGAAACAGAGGCACAGAGAAGTCAAATAACCTGCCAAAGAGCACAACCAAAATGGAAACCCCAGAAGTCTTCAAAGACTACATTTTTAAGCCCTATGCTGTACTATGATAGTGGATAGTAGATTCAGACTGAGTTGATCTGATCGCAGAACTGAATTATTAGGCACCCTGCTTGCTATTGGTTCTGCCTCTTGAATGCACATACTTCTGTCTCCATAAAAGAAGCATCTCTTTAAGTCAATAGGCTACCACTGTCCCACCTGGATCATTGCATTAGCCTCTTTATTTGGCCTCTTTGTTCCACCTTTGGCTCCTCTAGTCTATTTCAAAGTGAATTAAAACATTACAAAACTCTCTTCCTTGGTTTCCCATCATTCCCAGATAAACACATTGTATGCATCTAACCAATGATACCTAATTTTGTGACTTTTAGTAATAACAAAATGATACTTACTTTCCAGGTGTGGGCTCATGTTCACCTTGAAAGGATTTTGAATTCACTCTCTGGGAACAGATCCGTTTTGGTTTTGGACAAACTGAAAATGATTAGCTATGATTAAATTGAGAGCAAAAAAATGATCCCCCAAATTAAATAAGCTTCATTTGAAAACAAAACAATTCCCAGATGATGATGTATATCATTTCCCGAACTTTTCAATGTGAATAAAATATTTCATAAAATTTTAATAAATATGTAAATAAAGGAAACACAGAAAACAAGAAATTTTCTATCAAGTCTTCTGAATTCATGAAAAGAAGGGTAACTTTTAAAAGGAATTCTATTAACAGACAAGAGACCAAGAGTTTAGAATCCTAAGGTGTTTGCTGTTAACCAGGGCATGTTGTCCAACTTCTGTGGCTCAACTACTTTATCTGATAAATGGAGAGATAATAGCTTCCAAGAGATTGGAAGTTCCTGAAATGCTCTCCAACTTCAGAGTGAGAAATCTAGGAGTCAAAAACTAGCAATTATGTTAACACAATTCTGAGTTGGGCATGGTGGTGCATGACTATAATCCCAACAACTCAGGAGGAGGCCAGTGTTCAAGGCCAGCCTTAGCAACTTACTGAGACCCTGCATCAAACTTAAAAAGGGCTGGGGATGTAGCTCAGGAGTAAAGTGCCCCTGGTTCAATCCCCAGCACACACACACACACACACACACACACACACACACACACACACACACCAAAAAGATAATTTGAGACTAAACAGAAAAGAAGTATGTAGGGGGGCTGTGGTTGTGGCTCAGCAGTAGAGTGTTCGCCTCATGCGGGGCCCTGGGTTCAATCCTCAGCACCACATAAAAATAAATACATGAAATAGAAGTATTGTGTTCAACTATAACTAAAAAATAAATATATTTTTAAAAAGAAGTATGTAGGAAAGTCACCATGAAAGATAAGAAGAAAGAAAAAGGAAGAGGGACAAGCCATCAGCTAGCAAATCTGCTGAGGTCCCTTCTTCTCCATTCTTTCTCTGTTTTTCTCTTCCTCTTTTCTCTATCTTCCTGCTTTCTCAATCCAGGTCTCCTGCTGTATTCACTGGTGTTAGTAGCCAGGCTTCGCCCCACTGGACAAGGGAAACTGGAAGGGATTGTCCCTCAGACATGGAAGGTAGGACAGAAGCCAAAAAGTCCAGATTTTAGTCATGCTGACCACCTGGCATTGGGTCATGATGCACGGAGGCACTAATGAGCTCAATCATAATTTTTTGGTGGTCTCCAAATGTAACTTTGGATTTTGTGGAAACAGAAATTCAGAAAGACCACAGGGTCATCAGATCCAGTTCTAGTCTAGTCCACGGATCTATAATATCAGACAACATCCATTGTCTCCCAGATGGGGCTTAAGGCCTGCCACAGCCCACTCAGTTTTCTATCAGCTCCAATTACTGGAAAGTTCCTTTCCAACACCAGAAAAAAGCTGCCTCTACCCTCTTAGTCACTGTGACTTCTACCCCCTTAGCCACTGTGTTTACTAAGGGAGTTCAAGATCACATTTCAGTGGCTCAGGTGTATTCCTCATACATGTATTGGAGTAACAGTTCCCAAGACTGAGGAGGTAGTAAAGAAATCTGCTTCTGCAGGGTCTTAGTGACTTTCAGTTTGAGAGAATACATCTCACTGGAGGATTTGGCAGCTGGCGGTGAGTAGGGGAGACACAGCTAAAGTCAGTCAGGTAAATGACATTGTTTAATTGGGCACTAGCAATAGGGGAAAAATAAGAAAATTCTCCCTGGTCTCCTGTCCCCAGGGGAAGAGTTCTGAAGGGATGAAGGAAAGGATGTGGCCCCTGTGGGAGAATTAAATGTGGCTGTCACTAGGGTAAAACAAGAGGTATTTTCTTCCGTCCTTCATGTTCCCAGGGTGCACCACACTTTGCCTTGAACTTTCCTTATGTGCAGATAAGTTCCTTTCTGTGATTGGAAACCCCTTGAGAGGGAGGAGCCATGTCTTAGTCATCCTTATAAATAAATGTGGGATTTTAATTTTCTTGAAAGACAGCAAAATTTCACATTGAAAATGAGCTATATGATGTCTAAGAAATATAAAAACGGTCTATTTTTTTTCTACATGCTTTTAGAAAGGATATATTTAAAAACTGTAGCCACTCTGAATAGTGGCGATTATTCAGTCATTTGTTCACCAAACATTTATGCTTTGTTACTGATTTGCACTGGTGTAACAATAACTTTCAAAGTCATTTATCCCTAGGATTTTATATTTCTCACCCCCCACTGTCCTCTTGCCACCCAGGTGTAGGGCTGAATTTGGAAGTGTCAGGTGAGTGCAGGACACTTGGGCAGCAGACTGGAGAGGGCAAGGCTCTCCAGGGAGAAGCAGTGGCCAATGTCACATGGGCGACCCATACAGACAGGATCCTGCAGGGAATGTACTTACGAGGTGAAGAATTTTTATTTTCATCTGAAGACTGCACAAAGGCACCTTTTCTGCTATGATTTAAGTAATTCTGTCCTGGGGTGTTGTATCTATAATAAAATTCTAAGAAGAAAAGATTACAAACGCAATTCATTGCCTGGAAACAACAGCTCTCACTACACTTAGCCTTGCAGAGGCCCCCAAGTTGGTCTCACCGTTCAGTGGTTCTTTACTGCAGACGTTTCGGTAGTTACGAATATTGTTGCCGCAGTTCTCACATTTGTTCCTTTGCCACCCAGTGTCAGAACCAGAACAGAACCTGGTTTCTGTGTCAGAACCTAAAAAAAAGCCCAAGTTACACAAAGGAGGTGTGAGTTTCTTGAGTACAGTCATTAAATGTGGTATGGAGAGTAGGGTTGTAACACACAGGGTATGCATTAGACACCAAAGTGTTCACCTCCTCGGCTGTGTTTCCAAGGGATGTTGTCAGCGGGAGAGGAACATCTTGGATCCTCTTCTGACAACAGAGATATTTTGGTAAGTGACAGATCTGATAATGAAAGTCTCAAGATGTGCCTAGTACATATATAGATGCACGTCTGCTGAGTTGAGTGGGAATTTGACCCAGTGAATTAGACAATGTTGCATTTGTACGTTTGTTTGTTTTTTTTCCCCAGACTTACCCTGATACATCCATATTCTTAAACTCAGACTCTGTTATGGTCAAGAGCTTTTGTTTTGTCATCTACACAACTGAAAAGATAATTTTCCTGTATGTGGCATTCATAAGTCCATGAGAATCTGAGTGATAACTTGACTCTCTTAGCTAAGAGGCTGGGTAGCAGCAGAGAGCTCAAGTGCCTGGTACAGACCTAGAACTTGCTGGGCGGTGGAATTCCCCAGGGAGGGACAGAGCGTGAAAGCACAAGGCCAGACAGGGGAGCATGTAAGTATGAATCACCAATGGAATGAGTTTGAACGCCTGTGGTTAAACATGACTCTGGTACTTATTAGCTGTGATAGTTGAAAATATGTCCACAAATTCCTTGACGCTCTCTTTAAATGATGGAACCTGGGCTGAGGTGTAGCTCAGTGGTAGAGTACTTGCCTAGCACTCAATCCCCAGCACCACAGGGGGAAATAAAGGAGCCTAATTCATCCCTGGGAGGGCTGGATTTAGTGACTCAATTCAAACAAATAAGAGATGATGGCTTATAACATCCAAAACGAGACCATAAGAGACATTGAGGCTTCCACACCTCTCTCTCTCTCTCTCTCTCTCTCTCTCTCATCACTTGCTCCAGAGAAAGCTGGGCACCATGTCATGACCTGCAAGCAGCCTATTGCAGAGGCTCATGTGGCAAGGAGCTAAGACCTCCTGCCAATGACTCCGTGCGTGAACCACCTTGGAAGCAGCTCCTCATGCGTCAGTCGATCCTCCAGATGACTGCAGCCCTGGTATAGGTTTGAATGTAACCTTGTGTGAGCCTGAGCCTGAGCCAGCCAGCTGAGCCAGCTAAGCCATTCCCAAATTCCTGATCCACAGAAACTGAGATATTTTAGATTCATTATTTTGAGCCATTAAATTCTGGGATACGTGATTACACAATGATGGATAACCAATTACACTAGTTCTTTGACCTTGATAAGCCACTTAATTTCCCTGAGCCTTCATTTCCTTATTAAAGATAATAATTCCTACTTTAAAGGAGTGTTGTAATCATTAAATGACACTATGTCAATGGCTCTCAAACTTTTGATTTCAGAATCCTTCACACTTTTACAATTGAGGACACTATACAACATGTGTTTCTGTGGGGATTTTTTAAAATCTACCACATAATATATGCCAGTTTATATACCTGAAGTTAAATATATCCTTCTGATTTGGAGAAGAGCTATCATACAACATTCAGTCAACTGAGGATGAATTGGTAGAGATGTCTTGATATATAAATTGCAAATAATTTCTGTATTCAGATTTCCCAAGACTGAATGGATGCTTCTGGGTTTTTTGTTTAAAAAGAGTTTTAAACTGACACATTTTTAAAATTTTATTATGTCATTTAAAAATAATAAGGGCTAAGACCAGGTATGGTGGCACAAGCCTGTAATTCCAGCAGCTCGGGAAGCCGAGGCAGGAGAATCGCAAGTTCAAAGCCAGCCTCAGCAAAAGGGAGGCGCTAAGCAACTCAGTGAGACCCTGTCTCCAAATAAAATACAGGGCTGGGGATGTGGCTCAGTGGTTGAGTACCCTGAGTTCAATCCCCAGTACCTGCCCCCCAAAATAATAATAATAATAATAAGGACTAGGGCTGACGTTGTAGCTCACTCTTGCCTAGCATGTGTGAGGTACTGGGTTTGATCCTCAGCACCACATAAAAATAAATAAATAAAATAAAGGTATTGTGTCCTTCTACAGCTAAGAACAATTTAAAATAATAATAATTAGGGCTGAGGGTGTAGCTCAGTGTTAGAACAGCTGTTTAGCATGTGAGAGGCTCTAGGTTCAATCCCCAGCATCACCAAAAATAACCAGAAGCAGAGCTCTGTGGCTCGTGCCTATAGTCACAGCTATTTGGGAGGCTGAGGCAGGAAGACACCTGAGCCCAGCCGTTCAAGGCCAGCCAGGGTAACACAGCAAGACTGTATCTCTAAAAAATAAATAAATAAAATAATAGGCTTATGTTAACATGTTTTAATAAAAATAAACTATGTTCCAAATGTTTTAGGAATGAGAAGAGTGCTATTATTTTATATTTTGGCAAATTAAAGGTCTGGCTTCATAGAAGGCAGCTGCATCCCACAGCTGTATCTCCATCAGTCTGTTACAATATTGGCCTTGCTGGAAAAGGGGTGGATCTCATGGCCTCTCTGAGAGAGTTTCAGGGAACCCAGAGGCCCTCTGACCACAGCTTGAAAACCCCTACTCTGTTACAGCATCTGGTATTAAGTGTTAATCCATGAGACCTCTTAATTGAAAAATGTACCATCACAGAGAGCCCAGATCGGAACGGAGAGTGACCTAACAATACGGAGCTGAAGGCAAGGCTCTGGCAATAGGGTGTGTGATTGCACACACCAGCCATCTGGCCTCCAGCTTCCTCCAAGTTGGGCTCCAGCAGGGACATTCAAGCTCAGGAGCTGCCTGAGCAGGCAGGCCTCTGGCCCCGCCTCTTCATTCCCCAGGACAGTTCCGCCAGGGAATGTTTCTCTGCTTAAACTAGCCTGGGAGAAAGGGTCTTAGAAGACTAAAATCATTGAATTCCATGTACTTGTGCCCTCTGGGTCTCCTGCCAGTTCTAACTTTATTTGCTTCTATGAAATATGTTTGAACAAGTCAGTAGCAACCCCCATGATGCTGTTCACCTTCCCACGGACAGTTATGGGTCATGCTGGGCAAAAGATGGACAGATGACCAGATTCCTCTGTGACTCTAGCTAGAAACAGGTGTTGGCACTTCATCCTACTTAGCCACATCTTTTTTTCCATATTTTTTACTGATGCCTTATAGTTGTACATAATGTGGGATTTGCTGTTCATATTCATACATGCACATGATATAACAATATAATTGGGCCAATATGAATCCCCAGTATTTCCCTTTCCCTCTCCTCTTCCTTCTCCCTGGTCCCTTTCTTCTGCCCCACTGATCTCCCTTTGATTTTCACGAGATCCCACCCCTCCACCTTCCTTTTTCCTTTTTCCTCTCTAGCTTCCATATCCGAGAGAAAACATACGACTTTTGCTGAGTTTGACTTATTTCATTTAACATAATGCTCTCAAGTTCCGTTCATTTTCCTGCAAATACATGATTTTCATTTTTCTTTATATCTGAATAAAACTCCATTGTGCGTACAGACCACATTTTTAAAATCCATTCATCCATGGAAGGACACTTAGACTGGTTTCATAGTTTGACTATCGTGAATTGTGCTGCTATAAACATGTTAATCACATCTTTTTAAAAATCTACTCAATCATTCTTCTCATTTTGGGAAAAAGAAACCACATACAACACCTTAGTGTAGAGCAATATTATTTGAGTGGCAGATAGCAAGCTGTGGCCAGATCCCCCACAATGAAGAACCCCAAAGATTGAGCACCCACAGCCGCAGCCCCTCCACTCACCGAGAGTTGAACGCTGGCGCAGTGCCTTTTCATGAATGACAACTGAAAGCCTTCCACAGTCCATCTGTCTGTGGCCTTTTTTCTCTGTGTTTTGCTTCCTAAAAAAAGGTGCATAACATCCCAGAAACTTTTAGTTTATTTCTCATAGAGAAAGGAAAAAGTGCTAGTAAACTGAAATGTTAAATATATCAGAGCCTGGAACAACGTAGGAGAGGCCGGTCATCCTCAACACAGAGGCCCCCTCTGCCCTTCTGTTTGAGAGCCGCCCTCTTAGAAATTGCACCCAGCACAATTTGGTCTGATAATAATATATTTACAAAACATTAAAAATGAATATTTTGTTCCATAAAGGATGATACCTAATCATCATATACACATATACAAAATAGAAAACTGAAGCATGGAAGTGTATAACTTGTTTTCCTCATATTTATGCCTCAAAATCAATTCTTATCTGGGAAAGAAGCTATGCAATCCCTCAGCACTGAGTCAGATGGCTTTGGCTCTTAAGGACAAGCTGAATGTATCCAAGAAGTCCAGCAAAGTGGGATTTGTCAGTGTATAGGGCTAAAGGCTGTGGCAGTGTGGAGTTCATTTTAGTTTTATAAGGCCACCAGGGGGCATCAGAAAAAAAGGAACTACAGTTGGCATTTATCAGGAGACTTCTCCCACCTGTCTGTAGTGTGGTCCTCCCTCCTCCAAAGAAATTCTAACTAACTCCTCCAAAGGAAACAGTTTTTAACAAAGCTCTTGCTCAGCCACTGGGATACAGTAGTAGTCCCCAGGGAACCTTGCTCATTCTTGATGTGGCGCTTTGCCAAGATGTCCTGGCACAAGGAGAGGCCTAGGCCTGGGGTAGGAAGTGCGGGTGTTGCTGAGCCAAGGCATGAGTGTTGGACGGGCTGCTGGTAGAGGGGACGCAGGGCTTGGGTCTGGGGCTGGTGGGGTTGGGCTGGGAAGCCAGGCCCCTTCCCTCCTCTTGGAAAACATGCTCTCCTCCTGAGTCACACATTTTCTCACACCTAATTTTTTCTCTCCACCCTCTGCCTATGGGGCATTTGAACATCTGCTCTCCAAAGTGGAAAACCTGGATCTCACTCAAGTGAGTGCAGTCTAACACAGTCTAACACATGACTTTTTCTACTTCTTTTAAACTCCTTTGTGCACTGAAGTCTTTTGGTCAAACTTAATGGCCAAGGACAATTCTACAGGAGAAGAAGTTTTTCAACAAGACAAAGTAACTAAGGTATTCTGTTAAATGCCAGCGGCACTGTACCACTGAGCTGCAACCCCAGCCCCTTTTATTTTTTATTTTGAGACAGGCTCTTGCTATGTTGCTGAGGCTGGTCTTGAACTAGCAATCCTCCTGCCTCAGCCTATACATTACAGATAAGCACCTCCAGCCTAACTTAAATCCAAATTTTTTTTTGCGCCAGAAATAACATAAAGGGATATACATTTTATGTTTATTGGTATTTACATTTAGATAAATAATATGTATATAGAGAAATAAAATGTGTATATTTATCTACACATTTGTAACAAGTTAAAAATACCCTGAAAATAGTATGCACGTGAGCAAACTTCATAAAGAACACACCCCATCATAGAGCAATGTGATCTAACAGCGAAGAGTGTACAGTGCTCCCTGCAATTAATAACTCTGAGTATTGTATGATTTACCAAGATTTCATTTCATAGTTTATGCCTATCTCTTCATCACTCCCCAGCAGTGGATTCACTATGTTTGATTTTACATTTTTTTGTGCTTTTCTATCTTGTCTGTTATAAATAAAAGAGCACATTTAGTCTGGAAAATTGGTTCCTGTCTTGTTATTTACATGATTGTGTAGAATCTAGATGAAGAACTCAGAAGAGAAACAGTACCTTGAAAGCCTAATCAAAGTGTTTTTTTTTAATGTCAAAATATTTTTATTATGCTTAAAACCTTTTTAAAAATTAAAAAAAATTCAGACTTTGATTCAATAAGCAAAAATAGTAAGCTTGGGATGACTTGGTGAGCAAGCTTCATTAGTGCCCCTGGTATTTAAAGGAGCACTCAAAGCTGATGAGTGGCATGGTGGTTTGGAGTCATGGTCTGTACCCGATGACACATGGTAATTTTTAGTACAGACTCCGTGCTGTTTCTTTTTTTAGATTTGGAAACTCAATAAAATACTCATGACAAGTGCCCATTCCCGTGGTGCAATGCTTTCTAACAGGAAACGTCAGTCTTTCAGTCCTTGTCACCTGCTTCTATTAGAGTTCATTATGCACTTGTAATAGTTGTTGCTTAATAGCCGCTCCCTCCTTAACTCTTGACCTTTCAAAGGTAAATTAGCCAAGCTTGGGCTGAGTGGTAGTGAGCTGGGAAGTGGCACCTGTCACTAACTCATAGACACACTACAAATGACAGAAGCCTTGTTTGTGATCGATACAATCGATGTTTAAACCATAAAGATCTCTCCTTAGTTTTGTTTGGGTTTTTGTTTTGCGGTGCTAGGGATGCAACCCAGGGCCTTGCATATGCTAGGCAAGTGCTCTACCACAAGGATTTCTCCTTAGGATTTTACATGATTTCCAGCTTGTTAGCTCTGGAAGAGTTCTCGCTTAGGAATGGAAAGAAGTCAGCCTGAGAAAAGTGGCTTACTTCCAGTAGCCTGGGATGTGGTGGTGGGGACACAGGTGGCACCCTACAGGGAAGACTTTTGCTTATAAAGAGAGCAGAGAAAGGGAGCTTGTCTATGTGGGAATGATCTCCCATATGGCAATGTTCCAATAGTCCTCAGGACCACCCTCCTTGTGCTGTAGCTCTGATTCTTCACCAAGGGTGCTTTACCAGAATCACCTGGGGAGATTTGAACATGCTGTGCGTACCAGAGCTCCACTCCTGGAGATGTTGAGACTATGGGGGCTGGGTGTGCAGGGGCATGTGCATTACTTTAGAAACTCTCCAGGTATGTTGATGTTCTCTGGGTAAAGAGCCACTGCTAGAGGATTTGTAAGGTGCCCAGCCCTGAGATCCCTGCTTCTATAACTAACTGGCCAGTGGCTTTGTAACAGGGACTTAGAATACCTTTGCTAAAAACAGTAACTCTTTACCTAGATCTGCAGCTGCCCTGTGGGTAACTAAAAGCAGGATCAAGCCTGGCCTCTCTGCCTTTATTCTGCATCTATCTCCTTTGCTATCTAAAACTTTGAGTCAGGTCCCTGCTTGGCTCTATGGGTAGGCATGTTAATCACTTAACGAGTGCCCATCCAAAATCTAGTAATGCAAGATTTCTTAACCCTAAATTTACCTAACCTATCTTGCCCCCCCCCTTCAAGACTGAGGCCAGATTTGCAGGCAGATTTGCAGCATCCTATTTCAGACCCCTGAAGCGGTGCCTGGAAGTCTCTTGTCTTTGCCTCCATCCAGCATCATGGGTCTCATAAACATTCTGAGCAACAAGTGGAAATGTCCCCCTTGAGTGATAAAGACTTCTCTGGAGCCACTTCACAGAGAAGTGAGGTGGAATGATCAACCAGACCACAGTCTGGCCAAGATTGCTTAATTAAGCAGACCTCTCACCCATTGCCCTAGTTCTTCCTCTATTTAAACCTAAAGCCCCTGTCAGCACCCCGAAGGCAGTGCTGAGCCACTGGATCTCGCTTTACCTTGCCAACATGGCAATATTGATTAAAGTTTCTTTTCCTGCTTTCCACTATAACCTTTTCTGCTCAGTTTTGAGGGATGAGTAACAAGACCTGACCTGGTTAGTTGGGACTCCGAAGTCAGGCCTCTGGCCTAGGATGCCAGGAACAGCTTCAGTAAGCTGTCACCCACTGTTACTGGAGTTATTATGCCAGGAACACCTCCCACCCATCCTGGGAAAGTAGCAGCAGGAAGCCCTCACCATTCAAGGAGCCGGCTGCAGAAGGCACAGCTTGGATTGGATGTCATCATCTCTGCACGTTTCTGCCTTCCCCGGGTGCTGCTGGGGTCCTCCTGCACCACAAAACACACACAGATGTGGTATGAGGGAGGATGTGACTCACCCCATCGCTGGGGACTGCAGCCCAGCCCAGTCTGCTGCTCAGACCCAGCTGAACTTGCCACATCAGGATGGGAGACATTCGCACACACACCACCATACAGACTGAGAAACAGAGGCCCAAGGAGATCAGGAAGGAAAAAAGAGCCCATCCTTAGTTCTGATGTCTGTCAGTGTGGTCTGAGCCTCTGAAGGCCCGGGTGTTAAGAACGGAAGCTCTACCCTGGCTGGGCTTCTCTTCTTTAAAACAGGTTTTAAGTCTAGGGTACAGATGAGAAGATAACCCCCCTGCCTTTTTTTTTCCTCCTTTATTTCAAATTATCTCACCCTGTACCAGAGAATGAACAAATTTTGGAAGATGATTTTATTTTTGCAGTGCTAGGGATGGAACCCAGGGTGCAAGCCAGGCAAGCACACTATCACTGAGCTATACCCAGCCTGGAAGGTAATTTTAAAATCTTATCAATCTGATCACAGGTTAGTAGAGCTCTAAAAGCTTCTTCAAAAAAATCCATTTAACTATGAATTAAAACAAAAAAGGTTTAGGGACTGTTCAGAGCCCTAAATGATTGATTTTATGTCTTCTACATCTTAACATCTTTTTTTTTTTTTTTATGGGGGTGGGTGCTTGGGATCTAACCCAGGGTCTCGCACATGCTCGGATGCAAGGCAAACACTACCACTGAGTTACATTCCCCAGCCCTATAGATCACTTTTTAAAAAATATATATATATATTTTTAGTTGTAGATAGATACAATATCTTTTTTGTTTGTTTGTTTGTTTATTTATGTGGTGTTGGGGATTGAACCCAGTGCCTCATGCATGCTAGGCAAGTGCTCTACCACTGAGCAACAACCCCAGCCCTATACATCGCTTTTTTTGGGGTGGGTGTTACCAGGGATTGAACTCAGGAGCACTCAACCACTGAGCCACATCCCTAGCCCTATTTTGTATTTTATTTAGAGACAGGGTCTCACTGAGTTGTTTAGCACCTTGCTTTTGCTGAGGCTGGCTTTGAACTCACTGTCCTCCTTCTTCAGCCTCCTGAGCTGCTAGGATTACAGGTGTGTGCCACAAGTGCCCAGCTTATACATCACTTTAAATTTTTTTTTTTTTTTAGTTGTCAATGGACCTTTATTTTTTTTTTACTTACTTATATGTGGGGCCGAAGATCAAATCCAGTGCCTCACACATTCCAGGCTAGTGCGCTACCACTGAGCCACAGCCTCAGCCCTATACATCACTTTTTAACACAAAACAATTGCACTACTGAACAGAAAGGGCTAACACCAGCCACTGTGTATTTTTGACTATGGCCTTATCCTTTGTGTAAACAGAAAATCAATGTATTTTTTTCCACCATTACAAAGGATACTTGCATAAGCATTATTATAGACATATCTTTTTCCACATTTTGAATTACTTCCCGAGGAAACATCTGGGCCAAAGGTTTCTAACATGTTTGTGTGATGATACATTTTGCTGAACTGCTTTCCACAAAAGGTTCACGGATTACACAGCCACCAACAATGTGGATGGCTCAGTTGGACCACACCTTTCTCACTACCAGGATTTATCTCTTGAAAATGTTTTCATTAATTTAAGGGGGGGGCGAGTTATATTAAGGATCTCCTCTGCTACCAAAGAAGATGAGCATTTCCCCACATGCTTATTTATTGGTTGCATTTCCTGCTTGTGGCTTTTCAGTTCATATCTTTTGCCCACTGATTTTTTGGGAGGGCTTCATTATTTTTTTATTGATAGAAACAACTGCCGTATTTGTTGATTGTTCATTATGTGCCAGTGCTTCTCAGATAATTTTTTATTACTTACCATCCTGGCATGTTGTGACAACTTAATGATGAATAATTTGAGGCTCAGAGAATTTAAGCAACTTGGCAAGATCACATAGAGAGTATCTGAGCTGGAATTGAATCTTTATTGTGTGACTCATTTGCTTGTGTTCTTAACCCCAAATCTGTTTAACTGTGCATTTGTCAGAGCACTTGATAGGATACCAATTTGAACAGTGAACATCCTTTTGTTTTTCATACATTCCCATTTTTCTGTCTTTAAAAATTTGACTGTAATTTGTTTTGCAAACATAAGTTAAATTTTTTGATATTGTCAGAGAGGAGGTACAAATGTCCAAGAAACAGATGAAAATAGGTTGAATTTCACAAATAGTTAAAAAAAAAAAAAAAAAACAAAGGATCCAGGCCTGGTGGTGCACACCTGTAATCCCAGCTGAGGCAGGAGGATTGCAGCCTCAGCAATTTAGCAAGGCCCTAAGCAATTTAGGGAGACCCTTTCTCAAAATAAAACATAAAGTAGAAAGGGCTGGGATGTGGTTTAGTGGTTAAGTGCCTCTGGGTTCGATCTCTGGTATTAAATATATATATATTGGTATAATAAGATACCCATTTTCACTTACCACTGTAGCAAAGCTTAGGAAAACATTGATGTGAGCTCAAGTCAGAGACCCTGATATTCCCAAGCACTAGTAAAGTGGAGGCTACAAATAGCCACTTTTCACAATGGTTTGAATCATTAACTGCAATGCTACGATTTTATTCTCAGGAAATAATGGACAACAACAACAAAAAAGTTTGCATGTAATATGATGTTACCTGAAACCATGTTTATAATATCAAATAACTGGGGAAAAACTAAATGTCCATCAATGAGATTGTTTAAATAAATCAGGATACATCCATATAGTGAAATGCACCATGGTGATGCTGATACAATAGGTGAGGTGGAGGCGTATACATTATTTTAAAAGCTCATTAAAATGAAGCCATAGAGCTGAGCATGGTAGTGCATGCCTGTAATCACAGCTACCTGGGAGGCTAGGCAGGAAGAAAAGTTGGAGTTCAGCTAGGGCAACCCCAGATCCTCCCTCTCTCTCAAAAAGTAAGTCGGAAAATATAGATCAGTGGTAGAGTGCTTGCCTAGCATGCTCAAGGCACTGGATTCAATAGAAAAAAAAAAAGTAGGTTTATTCTTAAGTGACGTGGAGAGATGTCCACAATATGTTAAATGAAAAAAAGTAGATTATAAAAAAATACATATAGTAAGATTTCATTTTTGTAAAAATATATACACAAGAGGTATCAGAGGTAGAGCACTTGCCTAGCATGTGTAAGGCACTGGGTTCTATCCTCATCACCACATAAAAATAAAAAAATAAAGTTTTTAAAAAAGAGGGGAAAACTGGAAGGATATATACTAAAATGAATGTACTAAAATATTAGCGAGGGCTGGGGGTTGAGGCTCAGTGGTAGAGCACTTGCTTAGCATGAGTGAGGCACTGGGTTCAATTCTCAGCACTGCATATAAGTAAATAAAGAACATAAAGGTTCATCAGCAATTAAAAAAAAACTACTTAAAAAATTAGCCACAACTTGTCTAAGGAAAATTTTCTTCTTTACACTTCTCTATATTTTTTTATTTCTTTTGCAATAAAGATTTATCACATTTATAACTTAAAAATGAAGGGTTCCCCCCTCCGATCTGTTCCACATATTTTCTTTTATCACTACTAAGTTTACAGGGTTCCCCTGCACTTGACATTTCAAACAGATTTGCATTAGCAAAATGGAGGAGGTGTCCTTCCACTGAATTGGAAGATGGAAGCTTTAATACCTTTTGCCCTGGGCAAGTTTCACCTTTCTAAGTTATTCCTCCTATGCAAAAAGTCTTTGCAAACTGTAAGGCTCTGAATCAACAGGATTATCACTGCTTGTTATAACATGGATATCATTTTGGTCCCTTGGGCTTTTAATCCCAGTTTTTCCAATTTATTCATAATGAAATAATCTTTGGATTTTTGCTACTCTTTAAAGGATGGGGTCCAGACCAAAACCAGCAACGTTGGCATCACCTGGGAGCTTGTTAGAAATGCAGGATTGCAAATCACCCAGACCTACTGAATCAATTTAACAAGATACACTTGATGAACATAGATGCAAAATAATAAGAAAACTTGATGAACGTAGATGCAAAAAAATTTTACTAAAATATTGGCAAATCACATATAAAAATACATTAAAAAAGAGCGTATACCTTGATCAAGCAAGTTTCATCCCAGGCATACCAGGTTGGTTTAACATAAAGAAATCAATAAATGTAACTCATCACATAAAGAGACTTAAAGACAAGAATCACATTATTGTCTCAATAGATGCAGAAAAAGCATTTGGCAAAATACAGCATTCATTCATGTTTAAAACACTAGAAAAAAATAGGGATAGAAGGAATATGCCTAAACATTGCAAACAAACACAAGGCTAACACCATTCTAAACTGAAAAGAATTGAAAGCATTCCCTCTAAAAATAGGAACACAGGATGTCCACTTTCACCACTTCTATTCAACATAGTCCTTGAAATTCTAGCCAGAGCACTTAGGCAAAGGAAAGAAATTAAAGGGATTCCAATAGGAAAAGAAGAGTTCAAACTATCTGTTTGCCTGTGACATGATTTATATTTAGAAGACCCAAAAACTTCACCAGAAAACTCTAAAAAATGAATTCAGCAAGTAGCAGGATACAAAGTTAACACCCAGAAATAAATTGCATTCCTATACTCCAACAATGAATCACCTGAAAGAGAAATTAAGAAAACCATCCTATTCATAATAGCCTCAAAAAAAGAAAAAAAAAACCAACTTGGGAATCAATCTAACAAAAAAGGTGAAGGACTTCTGCAATGAAATCTACAGAAGAGAGCTGGGGTTGTGGCTCAGTGGTAGAGAGCTTGCACTGGGTTTGATCCCCAACACCACATAAAATAAATAAATTAATTAATTAAATAAAGGTATTAAAAATGACACCATGTTTAAAAAAAACAAAAACTACAGAACATTAAAGAAAGAAAGAGAGAAGACCTTAGAAAATGGAAAGACCATCAATTGTTCTTGGATAGGGCCGAATTAATATTATCAAAACA